CTGTCCCCCGTGTCCCCGCACTGACCGGCACGGTGTCCTTTAGGAAGGGCTGCGCCTGTTCCCGCAGCAGCGCCGCGAACTCTCCCTTGCTCAGGTAATCATCCAGCGGCGCCCGCAGCGCGTACCGGTGATAAACATTCACAGCGCATTCCAGAGCCAGCTCCAGATCGGTTTTCATCCTGCGGGAAGGGACAAAAATGGTTAAAAGAATTCGGGATGGATCCTAAGCTCAGCCTAAGGGAGGGATCAGCTCACTTGGGATGAGTTTGGGGCTTTGCGAGGACGCGCGGAGAGGGAGGATCGGGTGATGCGGAGGTGGGGACGGGGCTTTTTATCCCCTCCCCGAGCTCCGGGCACCCATGGGTGACAAATTCCCATGGGTGCCACCTTCCCACGGGTGACAAATTCCCATGGGTGCCACCTTCCCATGGGTGCCACCTTCCCACGGGTGACACGTTCCCATGGGTGACAAATTCCCTCCGGTGACAAATTCCCGTCAATCACAAATTCCCATCAATCACAAATAAATTCCCGTCAATCACAAATTCCCGTCAATCACAAATTCCTGTCAATCACAAATTCCCGTCAATCACAAATTCCCGTCAATCACAAATAAATTCCCGTCAGTCACAAATAAATTCCCGTCAATCACAAATACCTGTCAATCACAAATTCCCGTCAATCACAAATAAATTCCCGTCAATCACAGATTCCCGTCAATCACAAATAAATTCCTGTCAATCACAAATTCCCGTCAATCACAAATTCCCGTCAGTCACAAATAAATTCCCGTCAGTCACAAATAAATTCCCGTCAGACGCGGGGTCCCGCCCGGGTTTAAGGATTTCTCAAGCGGCTCCAGGAAGCGGCACCGAGGGAGGGGAAGCCCCGGGCTCGTCGGGCGGGACCAGGAAACGCCAAAAATGAAATTTGAGAGGGGTTGGGAGTGGATCAGGGGCTGGGCTGGGATTTGGGGTTGGGTTTGGGGTCACAGAGAGGGTTAGGATTGGGTTAGGGTTAGGGTTTAGGGTTAGGATTGGGTTAGGTTTAGGGTTTAGGGTTAGGATTGGGTTAGGATTAGGTTTTAGGGTTAGAATTGGGTTAGGTTTAGGGTTTAGGGTTAGGATTGGGTTAGGATTAGGTTTTAGGGTTAGGATTGGGTTAGGTTTAGGGTATAGGGTTAGGTTTAGGTTTTAGGGTTAGGATTGAGTTAGGATTAGGGTTTAGAATTAGGGTTACTGTTAGGGTTAGAGTTAGGGCTAACGTTAGGGTTTCTTTTAGGGTTAGGGTTGGGTTTAGGGTTACAGGTTAGGGTTAGGTTAAGTTTAGGTTAGGGCTGGTGTTAGGGTTAGGTTAGAGTTAGGGTTTTTTGGGTTAGGATTAGTTTTGGGTTAGGTTTAGGGTTAGGGTTCAGCGTTAGGCTTAGTTTTATCATTATGGTTTGGGTTTGGATTAGGTTTAGGGTCAGGTTTAAGATTCAGATTTGGTTTTAGGGATCTTTCTCTTTTGTTGCAGATGATGGGGGAGGAACTTTCCACTCCAATTCCGACCCCGTTAAGATTTTTGGGAAGAGAGAAGGACGGCGGTGGTGAAACATCCCCATAATGCCGTAATCCCATAATCCCGTAATCCCGTAAATCCGGGGACCGGAAAAACCCGAAATTGCAGAAGGGGAGGACAAAGGGACGGGTTTGGGACAGGGACAGGGACGGGCGCGTCCTCGGAGGGGAGGGGACAAAGGGGACACGAGTGGGCTGGGCCGAGGGACACGGGTGACACGGGAGGGGTGGGACAGGGATGGGACAGGGATGGGACAGGGATGGGACAGGGACAGGGACAGGGATGCGACAGGGAAGGGACAGGGACAGGGACAGGGACAGGACAGGGA